GTTTTGTTTGGTTTTGTTTGATTTTATTTGATTTTATTTGGTTTTATTTGGTTTTGTTTGGTTTTGTTTGATTTTATTTGATTTTATTTGGTTTTGTTTGGTTTTATTTGGTTTTTTTTTTTTTTTTATAACGTGTTAAAAAAATCAAGTTAAATTAATTTTTTATTAAAAGCACGGCTGCTTGCATGTTTATATATGTACATATTTATCTGTTCATATAAGCCTATTTGTATATATGCATAAATTCGTTCAATATTTGATTACATACTTTGATTTTATCGCATGTAAACATACGATGAATGTTTTATTATTGTAATTTTATTACATATTTGTTATATATATATATATATATATATATATATATTAATAAAACTTAATAAAAAAAAAAAACAAAAATAGTTGCTTTTGTTTTCCTTTTAATTTCAACATTAAAAAAAAAAACCTCATAAAAAGACAATATTATTGACATTTTAAAAAAAGTTATTACAATTTTTTTCAGTATGTATTTTATCAAAAAAAAAAAAAAAAAAAAAAAAAAGAAGAAAAAATAAAAAGAAGAAAAGGAGATTGATGCTTAAATGTGCAAAACATATAAAAGGGCCAGAAAAAATATAAATATGCGAACATATGAAAACATAAAAACGTAAAAACATGTAAACGCGTGAACAAGTACAGACAACAGTTTCATATGTAAACTTGTGTAGGCGCACCTGTAATTACGTGTATATTTACATATAAGGAAAACAGTTACGTAAAGTTTACCACTTCTTTTTTTTTTTTTTTTTTTTTTTTTTTTTTTTTCATATTTGTCATTGAAAGTTTTATAAAAATAAAATACTATAAAAACAAATAAAAATTTAAATTTAATAGTTATAAAAATTAACAAAGTATATTAAAAAATAACAAAATATATTGAAAAATAACAAAAAATGAAAAATTTAGATTCATTTTGTACGAAGAAAAAAGGTTAATGTGTATACATATACACATATATATACACATATATATACACATATATATATATATATATATAGAAAAAAAAGGAAAAGGCAAAGGTAATCAAGAAATATGTAAAACAAAAGTTTCTGTTCATATTAAAAAAATAATATAAATAGACAACAAAGAGTACAAACAATAAATAAAAAAAAAAAAATAAATAAATAAATAGAATAATAATACAAACAATAATAAAACAAAAAGAGATAATGTCACTCTGATCTTGATTTTATCCAAGGATGATTAAGAGCTACAAACAAAAATAAAAAAAATAAAAATAAACATGTGGAACATAAATTTACAATAAAATATTACAAACATGTTTACGTATGTACATGTAAGATATATAAATATATATAATTTGTTATATTTATTTTTTTCGATAAGGTGCTACAAAAAATAGGTTATATATTTGTACTTACCTTGATTTGCCGTCATTCTTTTCTTCTCATTTCTTTCTAAAAGTCTTTTTAAAAAGTCAACAGCCTATTAAAAAAAAAAAAAAATAAAAAAAAAAATAAAAAATAAAATAAAAAAAATGTAAGCGCTGTTGTAACAATATATCATATAAGCTTAGATATAAACTCATATAAGACAAATGTGAGCATTTTTTTTTTTTTTTTTTTTTTTTCCTGATAGTTGTTTGCCAGTTTTTTACAAGGATAAATAAGTGTAATAATATGAACAATAATAACAATTTTTTATTTTATGTAAGAACCTCAACAGATAAGGAAGAAAATTCTTTGTCCTTCCAGTTTATGTTCTTATTCAATATTTCATCCTTAAAATAAAAAAAAAATATATATATATATATGTAGCTAGCTATTTATAAAAATGTTGTATTGATATGTGTAAATAACTTCGTGTTAACGTACGTTTACGTATATGTTAATATGTTAAAATGTAAATATATTTATATTTTATTTTTACCACAACTTTAGGGGTGTTTTTCCCTTCAAATGGATATCTCCCAGTTAACATAAAAAAAACCATAACTCCTAATGCCCAAATATCAGAAGACATTGTATATTTTTTTCTATAAAACAAAAAAATAAAAATAAATGTCCGACGTTATAAAAGTTGTATAAATGGTGTGCTTGTATGTGTGTTTGCATTTATACTTATATTATGTACTCATTTTTATATGTTTTTTTTTTTTTTTTTTTTTTTTTTTTACCTTATTAATTCAGGTGAAATATAATGTGGAGACCCACATAATTCGGTTAAGTATTCACAGTTGACCTATATAAAAAATAAAAATAAAAAAAAAAAAAAAAAAAAAAAAATAAAAAACATTTGCACAATTAATGTATACATATATATAAACCTAATAATAAAAATATATCTACTTACTCTTTTAGCCATCCCAAAATCTATCAATTTTATATTTTTTGTATTTTTATGTTTAAATAAAAAGTTTTCGGCCTATATATATAAGTTGAATAAAATATATAATAAACATATATATTAAACGTTCAGGGAGGTAAAAATAAATAAATAAATAAATAAATCAGAAATGCAAGTCATGTGGTTATATGGCTAGTTAGTAAAAACATAACACAAATGAACGTATTTATTCTTTTATACATAGATGTAAATATATATATATATATATTTTTTTTTTTTTCTTTTTTTTTACTTTGATATCTCTGTGAATAATGTTATTTGAGTGTAAATATTCCAGGGCATTACAAATCTAAACCAAAAGAAATAAAAAGAAATGAATAAGTAGATATATACACGTGTATGTAAATATGTATACTACAACAAATAGTTCAAAAAAAAAAAAAAAAAAAAATTATAATAAATAATAAATAATATGAATAATTTTTTTGTTTGCTTTTTTGTAAAAACATATACTATAAGATGCTCACATTGTACCATACATGTGTCTACTTATATATCTATTTATATATATGTATATGTACGTATGTGTCTATACCTGCTTGACGATCTGAACAGACTCATTTTCCATTAAGCACTTATTTTGTATTACTTTATAAAATAGTTCCCCACCATCACATTTTTCTAAAATAATGTAGAATTTTTTTCTATCTTCAAAAAAATCTTTTAATTTTATTATATTATCATGACTCATTAAAGATAAATATTTTATTTCATTTTTAACCATACCTTCAAAATTAAAAATTTTTTTATGTTTTTTTTTCTTTTTTATTATTTTAACTGCATATATTTCTTTTGTTTCTCTGTCAACACATTCCCTTACAACCCTGTAGTGTAGTAAAAACATAAAATATAATAAAATGTTTTGGTTGGGTAGGTAATAGGTACAGTGTTATCGCATAAATAAGCCACATATGTAACGTATACATATATATATATATATAAACATATGCATATAAACATATGCATATAAACATAACATAACATTTTCTCTTTTTTATATTATACTAAAACATTACCCAAATGAGCCACATCCTAGTACCTTTCCAAATTTGTACTTTTTCTTTTTTTTTTCAATTAGTTTATAATGATTTAATATTTTCTTAATTGCATTCCCCATTGTTTTTCATAATTATTCAATAGTTGAATTAAAAACTATAATAAAAAAAAAAAAAAAAAAAAAAAAAAAAAAAAACGGTTAGTTTATTACTTGTTTTTTTTATTTTTTTTTTTTGTAATATGGGTTGTATAACTATATTCATTTTAAGTTTTTGTGTTAAAAATGAAAAAAATAAAATAATAAAAATTAGATATATATGATTAAATACATTTTTTTTTTTTTTTTTTTTTTTTTTAATATGAGAATTGAGATAACTGTGTTGTCTCTTTGTTGTTGCTTTGCTGTTGCTTTATTGTTACTCTGCCATTTCTTGGTCGTCAAATTTGTTACAATTTAGTTATTTTGTTTTATTTTTTTTAAAGTGTAAAACTTATAAAAAAAGGGGAAAACAAGAACAAAAAAAAAAAAAAAAAAACAATGACAAGAATAAGAGCAAGAACAAAGACAAAAACAAGAACAAAAAAAAAATTTTTAAAAGGTAAAGGAGCAAAA